CACATTCTACAATATAACATTGGTAACAGGTAAGTCAGTTTTTCCCAACATTTTATTCCTGATCTGTGTGTCCTTCACTTCACAACCCCCTCTACAGAAACAGACCACATTCATGTACAACTTGATGAAAAAGTTGCCAATCATCTGTTACTAACCCCATCATCACTTGGTGTTTCCTTTTGCATGGTGTTCCTCATCCAATGTAGATATGCTTTGTTTATTGACTGATGCACCTTGTGACATGTTTTCTCTACGAATGTTTCCTTTATACTGTGCTGTTTTTCTATATATTATTTTTACCCTGTGTGTGTTCCTTGCCTTAACGATGAAACTGCTTTCTGTAGACATACCTTGTAACACTGTTGTAATGGTAGTTATGCTTTCAATCATGCCAAGTACAGTTGCTTTAACTTTTATAAGGGCAAGGAAGCTGTTGTCAGTATTTCCATTGGCTTTGGATGTGTTGCTGTATCTGTTGTGGATGTGTAAGCCCCAGGTAGAGCAGGTCTGGTGCAGGGTCTTGGACACTGATGATCCCAACGGGTGTGTCCCCCCTCCCATAAGGCCAGGTGTAAGCTGCTGGGGTGTACTGTGCAGCCAACACACGGTACGAAGCTAGATGCAAGCCATGTATTGGAATTTCACATCATTTTACCATAAAACATTTTTGCGTTCATGATAGCTGTGTACTCTTGAAGTATGACCCAAATATTTGATATAAATGCATTCTAAGCAGTAACCAGAAAATACTAATAGCCTAAAAGCACAGCTGATGATGATAGTTCATTGAGAAGTACAGCACTGAAAAGTTTCTATTCCGTTCAACTTGTGCAAGCTAAATTTTTAATGGTGGCTAAAGTGAGGATTTTGGGACTTGCCTTTTTGGGATATCGGCTGGTAACCAACCAGCTGTTTTGAACTTGCTATTGACATGAAATGATGTTGGCACATCACATTTCACAATTCGTTTATCGTGTATTTTTGGAGACTTTGTGCATTACAAAGTTATGAATATGAATTTGTCCCATGTTTTTGTTTTGTTGAGCACCATATTAAAAACCTTGGTGTGGAAGATGACTTGGTTCTGTGTTCCATGGGTGATCTCAGTGTGAAAGTCTAGTTGCACAGGAATTTCACTTTGCTAGCCTTACCAAAGAACACACACACTCATACACATGCTCCTTACAGAAACAAATAAAGGGACATAAATAATTTTCTTAACTGTAGGTCTACATAAATTTAAACCTCTCGATGAGAGTACTAGAAAAAATTACTTATTTCTCAATATAGTAACTGCTGGCATCATGACTTAAAGCTGAAAGCAAAAGTTTCGTGATGTCACGTGTCAGACGCCATGGCAACAGGACAACTCCCCTGCTAGATACGTCACTGGAAGGAACTGAAGATCTGCTATTGAAGACTCATCGGATGTAGATATTCTGCATTATTTTATAACACTTAAGTTAACGCACGTAAGTCGTCTTCACTTCGACGTCATCATTACCATGGTTCTATTAAACACGCCAGTCTCACTGCTCAGATAATCAAGTATAAACTGAGTGGATGGAGTAACGAGATCGTCGACGGCCTAAAGATACGATGGTTCGGATGATGTTCGGATCCACGAAAGCCACTTAAGGGCTATTCTCAACACGACAAACAGAAAAGTATCTAGTCTTTTTGTTTAAACATGGAACTATTTAGAATGTTAACAAGACTACTACGTATTCTGCAGGGAATGCCAAACTAGATCACAAGATGAATCGAGATAAAGAGCATGAAATATCACCATGGTTAAAAAGCAAGAGGGGTATTAAAGAATTGTAACGTTAGCTATTAAATGATATAGTCATATAACAAAACTGAGTTGAAGCAGCTTGGTTACCAAAAACTTTCGGCGCACGACGAAAACCTAATCCTCCGTGGCATAACTTAAGCCGCTCCTCGAAAAAGTTGACGCCGCCGCCCCGCAATCTCCAAGCAGATCATATGGTGGCAAGACAGTATCCATTGGCCAGAGGTCTATTTGGATATTACGCTGCCGCACCAGTTAATCACTGTAGAAACATATCTTCAGTTCAAGTGAAAAATATTAGGATTTCTGTGTAAAACCAAAGACGATGTACGTGTGTCCTTGGTAAAACAAATCAACATACACAATCTTGAAGTTGAAGCAAGTCTCTGGAGAGGTCTTGAAGTTGAAGAACTTGGCAAGGACAGCTTAGTTTACCTCCAAGCCTAGAATCTGCTAAATCGTATAAGACCAAGGAGTAATATGTAGTTCCCTTAGCAAAATGAATTAAAGTTCGTGAAGCATAAACTGAAATCCGACCACAGAGATTTTGCCTTTCAGTTTAGTTTTTTTCTTCGAAAAGTCAAAATGGCGCGAAATCGTAATGAGACAACGTCCCTCATTGGTCAGCCCAAAGATGACGCTGATTGGTCGCCATGATGTCGTAAAACAGTGACGTTCCAAGATGGCGGCTGTGGAGTAGTATTTTGTCAGCCGAGTAAAGTATTCACGGAAGAAATGGGAAGATTTAGGGGCAATTTGGCCGCTGTCCTGGCCGTCATCGTGCTCCTGTTGCCGGGGCACCTTACTGAAGATGTTGGAAAAGGTAGGGTCTATGTTTTCCCCGAAAACGTACAGTTTGACGGTTCCATATTTGGGGTTAAAAATAATTTGTAGACACCCCATAATTTTTTTGCACTTACAGCTCTGTCGTGTATCTAGTGTAAGTTGTCACTATTGTGTACTAACAAAAAGGGCACTAGGTTTTGTTACAACGCCCGTGTTTCGTTAAATCCCAGTCCATTCATCGCCATGGTTTACGGTTTCGTTACTGTATCAACCGGCGTCATATGATCAGGCCCAGCGTATCCAACTTGCAACTTGTGTCAAAAAATTATAAATATTTTTCTCCCAAGATAGATGCTCATATCCTCATCGACTAAAAGCAAGATTATGATATTGTGAGATTGAACGTGTTTTCGTTGTTGTGGAGCGGTTTTTGTAGCTTATTAAAGCGTTGTGTGTGATATCTTACGCTTCAGAGAAAGTCCCTAAGGTACGGCACTAGAGCACAAGGTATATGCTTGAACGGCATATGCTTTGTAAATAGCTCAGATCTTTGGAAATAGGGCGTGATACAGCTGAAGCATTTAGCCTTCATGGCATGATTTTAGGGTTTTCTGTGTACATTTTGTGCTTTAAATAGCTCACCAGAAAGAAGAAAATAAAGCAGGTGTCAATTTCCCCGCCCTCAGTTTTTATTGGTGAATTGTCTGTGATCTGTAAACAAGCTTCAATTAATTGTATTGTCTGTTGTATACAATAGATAGTAGAACTAGAGCATTATAATATGTAATTTTATGACAGTGGTTACACTGGATTACACCAAAAGCTTAGTTGGTTTATATTGTCATGTTCACAGGCTTTGCCACCTGTTCGTCATTTACTAGTATATGTTCCTCAGATTGCAAACTTACCACAAGTTCTTTACATTTCTTTTTTTAGTGGTATTGGTTGAAATAAGTAGTACTGCAGTCTTCAGCCATGTTGGAAATGATGTGTAATTTTCACCATATGTTCCATTAAGATTTTATTGCATAGTCTGTTTGAAGTGGTTTATGATGCCATTAACATATTTTCTCTGGGTTGAAGTAAGGGTGTATAGTTTGACCTAAAGCCATTGCAAAGACTTTCAACCATAAGTTACCATAGCCAACAAGCTACATCATGCTTTTTTATCAGTGTACATTGAAATATTATAGAAATGATAATTGTCTGAACATTGTCAGTCACTCATTGAGATATTCATTTCCATACCAGCTGATTGACGTGAGAAATTAAAGCCTGTTCAAATAGATTTAAGCTGGTTTATGACAGTTTTATAGCCCTTCCCTAAAATGTTTCTGACGTGGGTGCCATTATATTAAAGATTACCAAATATACTTACAAAGATTGAAGCTTTCCTAACAATCTTTCCACATCATCATCATCAGGTTGGGTTTTCCCGGTCAATGGCCCTCTCCCTCTAAACCACTCTATATGGGGGCCTCGCATGCCCTTTTCCGCAGAGCGTATTCGCCGTTTTAATTCTACGTAATGCATTGTAGCCACTTGGAATTTATCGTAAAGCGTAATTGAGAGGTTTCCCAAATTCAGCGTGATACATAGCCAGCTCTCAAAATTTAGCTTAGAGCTTTGTCGGAACCCTACCCCCTCCATGCAGGTCATGGCACTCAGAAGGTTATTCCTTAGGTACTGACCACCACCCAGTTGGTCTTCAGTTTTCCATCCTCCCATGGCAGGGGCAGCGGCTCCGAATTCCTTCTCCACCCCTTACCCCTGCCGAATAACCCCGCATCTTCTACTCTACGACCCCAGGAATATTAATATTCATGAGCTTGCCTTATTTGGCATGACCCCATTTCTGACTTGGGCGGCGAAGGGACGTCACCCTCCCCGCCGGCGACTCCGCCGCCGCCCGGTGAGGAGCCCGTTAACGCGTTGGGGAGGCCGTGCGGGGCAAAGTCACCGAGCCAACACCTTCCCCGTGCTCGGCGGGGCGCTAGCGTGTGCTGGAGGCTGCGCGCGGACCCCGCAGCGGCCTGCATCGCAAAAGTTCTCTTCCCAAGACGACGCCATGTTTGTTTTTATTTGTCACTGAACAGCCGACATGATTGGTTCCGATAGCTAGCGCAGCTCATAAATATTTAATGTAAAGTGCGTTGAAGATTTTCTCTGTGATACGTGATTGGCTGAGAGCGTGTCCCTGGAATCGGGTCGTAGAGTAGAAGATGCGGGGTTATTCGGCAGGGGTAAGGGGTGGAGAAGGAATTCGGAGCCGCTGCCCCTGCCATGGGAGGATGCAGTTTTCATGTAATGTTCCATACAATCATAACAATGTAAGACTGATACAACTGATATCCATCCCTCAATTGCAATGAGGTGCCTTGTCTGAGCTACATGTAGGTGCATTCCAAAGAAAGTAATTGTTACTTTTGCGTGTAAATAACTTAATTGCTACCCTTTGTTTGTAGAACTTTGTCACAGAGTCAGTTGCTTAAACTATGAACGTTCAGAATAAATGTTGTTTGATAACATCTGAAGCAGCTACCTCAGATTATTCAATGATATTAACATTTCAAAATTTTCTTTAGTTACGAATACCTGTAGCCTGTATGTGTGCAAGGAGGGCAGTGTAAGTTGGTTGCAGACAACTTCAGTCAATTTAAGAAGTGGTCAGACCAGCTCTTAAATTGGCATTATGTGACTCTAGTTATTTAGAATTTCAGCAATTTCTATTGTACATTATCCCATCTTTGGAATTGTATAGTATAGGCTGATCATGAAGAAGTTTACATGCCTAGGATAACATACAGTGTGGGACTGTATATCATGATTCACTTTGCCTGGCTTTCACTGGCAGTCTCTAGATAACAACCATTTGCAACTGCCTGCTAGCTTGCTTTCTAAGTGCATAAAAAAACCTGTAAAATGCCTTTAGGTGTAGCATACCAGTAAAGCTACATGAAAGACTGGACAGAAAGGTTTCACCCACTCACAGTCACACTGGCATGGGCCTGAGTACGGATCTACCTCTACCCTTACTTAGGCCTACTCTTTTTGATAAGCATGATGGGTTTAACATGCTCGAGGTATGGCTCCCCTCAAATGTAATTTATAGCAATGCTGTTACCTCTATTTGATTTCCTTGTTCCGCACCATTCCAACTTTACCTTTTAGAGCTTTGCACAGGCCATAACTATCCCTGAAGCCAGTGCACTTAGGAACCAGGAAGCCACTTTGTCAGCCCTCCTATTTACTCTCTTAGCTCGTGGCCATGAGGGGCTTCAAGACTCTACCTTCATCAGCACTGCAGTCTATCAGTCCTACTGGTCTAAGGTTATAGGGCTTAGACATAAGAGCCTACTAATGCAGCTTTTATTAACTCCCCTGCACCCGAGAAAGCACAGGGCTTTGGCCGACAGGTCCAATCTTCATCTGCTAGCCTAAGAAGGGATATATTTTGATATGTGGATAAGCAGATATGAAGGCGTAAATCTATATAGTTTTGTGGAATCTGGCTTGTGTATTTATGTAAGCCAGATTTTGCAGTCGTGACAAATTTAAAGCAGTCACAGACGTCATAATCTTGGATTCTTGGAATGGAGCTGCAGAATCAGAACTGAAATGTGATACAGTACTAGTAATTCAAATTATCACATTCAATTTCCTTTGAACATATGGCTATAATTTGTTAATTAAGTTAAGCTTCTTTCCACCACAAATACCTAACTTTATTTCAAGCTAATGATCATGCCATGTCATCAAGCCAGTTACAAAAAAAAAACAATTTGAAAACACACCATTTCAGTTTTTGTGTTTTAAAATGTACCTGAATCTGAATGTCCTGTCTGCAAATTACTTTTCACCACATAAAACAAGATTTGAATTTGAATACAATACATATTTTGATATTTGCATGAAAACATGTTTTACACATTGTAATTGTCAACTGTTTATACTAAAGTGTTATTTGAGGAAATTGAGGACCGGAATCTAGACTCCAGAACAGTTTCTAAAATAGTACAATTGTATATACATAGTGTAAAGCAAACAAAGTACAAGTGTAGCTTAGCCCATTTGTTAAGAGGACTTCAGATGTGCCAGTTTTCTTTTCTCTTAAACAAAATACTCCATGCTCATTTGAACATAACGGCTGTACTAAATGCTACATCATGCATGCAGGGCATGTTGTCTAACCCAACGCACGAGTTTATTCTAAAGCCTGCATCTCAGAACAAGCAAACAGGGCATAATTGTTGTCATAGTGCCCGCTGACGTCAACCCTAGGATCCTGTTCACTTCCCTCAGCAAAGCTTTTACAGAAGATGTTTACCGGTTTACTAATGAGGGAGAGAATGCACCATCCTCCAAACACCATCAGTGATCCATGTTGGCAAAGGATTTGCCTTGAATCTGGACTGTTGTCTTTTCCTGTTTAAGTTATTCTAGCTTTGACATTTCTTTGTTGTTGTGGCAACATACAGTTAACGTTGTAAAGGCTGGTGACTGTTTATTTTTGGTTCTGAAGCTTGAAACAAGGAAATGAGGGACTCACGCTGTCAGTTTACTTCCTTGAACTTGTTTATACATGTATGAATGGTTTATTTCAACACTGTCGCATACATAAGCAGCCAGAATGGCTGAATTATAAATGTGATATGACAACAATTCGGCAAGGCCTGTAAGAGACATATTCACATATTCACCAGAGTAAAACAATCTATACAAAATTTGCTGGTTGATCAGATACTAGTAAGAACTTAGAATAGTTCGACAAGTTGAAAAAAAAACCTTAACAGTGCAGCTATTGGGCATAAACTAATGTCTCATTGTGGTTCAGAAGGTAACGTTTTTTATGTTCCTGCATTGGAAGAATTGACTCACAGAGCTGTATTAAATTCTGTTCACATGATGATAGCTGGGGTAATATGATTTTGATCTTGACTTGATTGCTTGTGCTGTACTTTAAGGTATTGAAGCAATTAGATTAGTTGCTGTTAGTTATGTAACCAAAATAGAATCCAAGTCCTTACAGCTGAATATAAAATACAACACGACTTGAGTACCAAAACCCCCCATAAAATCTTAGAATGAAATACACATACTTTTAAAACCATTTTTCTTGCCAAATCTAAAGTACCCTTCTGCAAGCTTAGCTTCATAAGAGCATGGTGACATTTCATTATGAAACATCAAAAGCAAGAGATAGACCTCCTATACTTTCAACCTTTATGGCAGGAATTGATATTTTATGCAGACAGGTCAGAACCTAAGGTCACAGGGTTAGAAAATATTACTAGAAATGTCAACTCTTCACCGAACCATGGTGTGTGTTTTGTTATATTGATTTTTCTCTGTATCTTCCTAAGTCTGAGAGGTGAACCGAGCCATTTTAATGAGCTCAGGCCGGGTTATCAAATTTTCTGGTTGACTTGCGTTTATGTCTTTTCAATGCACAGGAAGTTGCAACTGGACTTAAGTCTCTGACAGTGATCTTCGTTGGAAATTGTCAAACGGATTCAGAATTACTAAGTCTTAGTCCAAAAAAGTTTTGTCCATTGTTTCCAGTACATGTGCTACATAATACAAATACAACTTGATAAATTCCCCTTAAGACTAAAAGAGTCAGATGTATAAAAAGTTGAATTCACACATTTAAAAACCTTGCCTCAAACATCACTCTGCTAACCAAGATTGGCTGAAGTTCGAGAGCAGGCTGACCAGATTTAGGCCATGCCTACCTTCTGAGACCAATCAAATGGGATTTGAGTTAAATTTTAGTCAAATTTGACTGAGTGTTTGGGAGGCCATATACTGCTATGTGTGACACTGAGATGTGTATAAAATATCAGTATAAAATATACATGTGCAAAGTACAAATGTACCAGGCACAGAATTGTCTCCGGGCTTTGCGAGATAAAACCTCAAAACTGCCATAATGCCTGAAGTCTCAGGGTTGCATCAGCAGTATTTTGCCCTAAATGATCAGGAGATAAAAGACAGTGTCTGATGGCGCTTTCAATGTGATAAAAGATTCACCAGACAGCCACGTTGTATAACAGTTCTAGTCACCAGGCCATCCATGTGTACTCTATTGATTTTGGAACCGATGGGGATGACAGGTGAAACAAAATATCAAATTTTAAAGCCTGGTGTGAACTTGGTGTGGCATTGAGGTGGGGTCTCTCACCCACTTCAAAACTGAATTGGCGAGGACCCTGCTGCATTGAGCATGTCATTGCCATTGTGCAAAGGACATGTCAATTTGTCTTGTCCTTTGCACACACAAAATCAGTTATTTAGATGTTTCCATCTATGTGCCAGTGAGTGTTACTGTCACTTAGCCACATATGCGCAACCCACTAAAAGTAATCCCTGCAATGCAACTCAGCAGCAAGAAAGAAGCTTTTATTAAAGTTTTAAGAAGAAGCCTAGGGCCACTCTGGAGATGGGCTCCACAGATCCAGAGATGTACTTAGTTTTGAAAAGTACATTGTACATGTACTGTAGATTGCGACTGCAGCCCAGGGGCTATAGCTAGAACGTGCCATTAAAATGTTCTACAGAGCACAAACTTTAAGGATTTTCCAGAGGTAACATTTCTATACATGATGATAGTATGATTTCAAGATACAGATAAATTATGATCATGCTTACTTGACTCAGGTCATATTCAGTGTCTACAAATGTATCAATCTGTAGATCTTCTGATCACTATACTATTACGTATGAATGAAAAGACTATGAATATGATAACTATTGTAAGAGTAAGGTAACTCATAAGGGTAAGGTAACTATATTGTTTGTTCTTTTGTTTTTCTTGTTTCCAGCCTCTGCTTGCTGGAAGGAGCGTGATGCTGCCATAGCGACCGGCATGATCGGGAGTTTCATCAAGCAGTGCCAGGAGGACGGGACCTTCAAGACGGAGCAGTGCTGGGCCTCCACCGGCTACTGCTACTGCGCACACCCGCTCAATGGACTCATCTATGACAAGACGGCGCAGCGGGCGTGGGAGGGCCAGCGCAACGTGGACTGCAGCACGTACTGGATGACACAGAGTGAGCAGAACACACCTTGATTGGTGGTGGAACACTTCTGTCACATCCTGATAAATATGGCTGACTGCTGTGCCACTGTTTTCCAGCACTCTATAATTTCTTTGCTCGCTTCATTGTATGTCTGCGTGTGTTCGCACATATATGCACCAGATAAACTTCACTGTAATTATGTCACTACTCTTCCATTTCTTCAACTTTTAAGGCACTCTTATATCTTTAAACCAATCTCTATCCATCTCGTTTTCCATTCATTCAATAGTTGTTGATCATCTGTATTTAACACACCAGTGCACAAAAAACTGCACATACATGTATGAATGTTCAAATGCATGCAAAGGCAAGACTTCACGTCTGCACTTATATCAATAGCAGTTCATCCTGATACACATTTATGCAGCTACATGTGCATTCTTTACAACTTATCTTGTACACTGCAGACTGGTAATACATCATTATTACATGCCAGTCTATTTCAATGTATGTATTCAGTGCTTGACAATAAATTTGTCTGCCCTCTCATCTAGAGTTATCCCTAGCTCTAAAATTTAATATACCATCCCGGAGATACATGTAGAATTTACCACCCAGCAACTTTCTGGTTATAATCGATTAGTTTTGTGCCAGTAAATCCAGTTCTATATGCCTAAGATTTGTTTTAGTTGCTCAGTTGCACATTATATACAGGGCAACCCTAAGGCCTTGGTGCTCTTTTCGTTCTGGCCTTTGGCTGTTATGTCAAAAAGGCCGTAAATCAAAATTTCTGTCAGTGTGTTTGCTATATAAAGAAATAGTTGCAGGCTAATGTTGTTTCTGTCCTTGCATAACTCTTTTCTATGCCGAACAAAATTGTAAGAAATTACGTAGGACTGCAAAATGCAAAACTTGCTTCCCACCCTTCCCATCATAAAGGCAATATACATGTAGACTACATCTCATATTTCATATGTATCTATCTCGACAGGCATTAGAAGGTTAAAATAGACATTTGTGATTTTATTTTAAACACATTATTGTTGTTTGATAATGGCTGAAATTATATATCGTTAGTGTCTATTCAGTTTCTTCAAATTTCTTGCAAATTGACCTTTCTGTCCAAGTCAACGTGATCCCAATGAATTATCCGCTGATGTTTTGGCCCCATTCCACTCAAAAGCCTATCCTGTTATGTAAGATAAAGTCCTTGTTGGCAATGAGTCAAACTGACTTACTAGCAAGAAATTCTATTAAATTTCTCACTCTGCTGCTAAAAGAAAAAGCGATTTCACATCATGCATATATAGGATGTATCATATTACTTCATCAGTCCATCATCATCATCTTGTTTACATAATGCAATACACAATTTACATGTTCTCACATCACTTTTTAGTCAATACCATCTGTCCAATTCTACATCCGAAAGTTACAATGTGTTTAACTCTGGCTTGAATGAAGTATTAAGAATAACTGTTTTGGAACCAGCATAAACTTCTTGGTTTCCAGTTACGTGTACATTAGCATAAGCCCAACATACATGTAGATTTAAAGGTACTGTAGATTCTTTTATTTCCACAGTAGATGTGGAAAGCAGGTTTTTGCAGTGTTTTCAGTTGAAGCAGTTCCTTTGCAAATTGCAGTAAAGAAATAGATAAATAAACGAAATAAATAAATAAAATAAAATTGCAGTACACAGTTATACAATGGAAACACAGTACATATGAGAGGGTCAAGAATTCGTTTTGGAGATGTCCACATGAAATTAAAGCCACCACAAATGGATTTACTGGATATGGTTCTAGCGACTTTCTATAATCATTTATTAGTCAGTGCCTAGCTACCACACACGTACAGTTGAATGAAGTTGTATATTCCAGTCTACCAGGCCACTGGTCACATGAGTGAGGCATGAGTGAACAAGTCGATCAATACTGCATGACCACCCTTCTCCGCTATTAACCAAATTGCTTGGCCTGGTAGTGGCCTCAGTGTGGGGTGTTGCTCCATCAATTTTCTACCCGTGTTTTCCTCCAATGCCCCCCCTCCTTCTCCCAAAACCTTTCAGTTATAACCTGGAATACTCCGTTCCTAGTCGTTTTTTCCTGCTTTGAATTTTACTCACACCATGTTAAATTTCTTAACCTGCATTTCTAACAATTTTGAATGACCACATCTTTGTTTTGAAAAATTTTTGCATTTTTTCTTACGACAATGTTGCGAAATTTTATTTTTGTCCATCGAGTGAGACAGAATTAATGGTTCATTAGTTTTCATCCCGAGCAGCAGATTCTATTGAAGGACGGATGCAGACATGGACACACTGAAAGGGAGATAAAAATAGAAGTCTCCTTCCTGTTATGCTACTGATTGTGAAAGGCCAAAAAAATTATATGTATGAAGGGCGTCTGGCTGTCAAGATGTCTGGTAGCCTTCATAAGTGTACTGTACCTAATGATCAACTAAATGGAGTGAGGGTCACGTGGAAGTGTCTTAGCCCAGGCATGATTATACTGCTTCGATTCGAAGTTGCAAATACAGAATATAGTCAAAAAGTCTGTTCATTCTTTAGACGATGCAGATTAAGCTACAAAATGTTGAAAATCAAGCATTTTGGACAGAATGACAGTTAACTTTATACAATTATTGAATTAACATTTTAGAAATATGAGAAAGATCTCGAATCCTGCCATATTATGTCTCCTGCACAGTCAATAAAAACAATATCGCCTGCAGTCCCCAGTCTTGTCAGATAAGCCGCGTGCTGCATATATATTACACCCGCAAACACCGCCTACGGAGCATTTAATGACGTGAATTTAGACCTTTCTCACTTCAAAGCACATGCATTATTAGCCACCTGCGGAGGTGTGAAGCTTAAACTTCAGCATCCATTCTCTTGTGATTCCTTAGTGTGTGAATTTTGTATTTGCTGCAGTCAAACTGAATTGGGGAAATGACTTACATGTAGGCAAGGTTCATCAGAGTAAATGCACCATTCATTATTATATTATACTGTGTGTCAGTCAGGACCACGTGATGAGTACTTGCCGCGGCAGCACGTGAGCACTCCCCACATGTACACTCAGTCCTCTAGCAGTCACTGCCGCCGGCACCTCAGATTACCTTTCGATATAATACAGGCAGCATCACGTGGGCCATTCAGAGCTTTAGCATGTCTTCCCATTGATGGGCTTGCTAGTAGGCAGGAGAAGTAGCTTCAAGTTGCGTCCAGACGGCAGACACAGTACGCAGTTACTAGTACTGCTGGATCTGTAGTGTAAAGGAAGCGCGTGCGGCTGAAGTTGTAGGGATGGAGATGAAGGAAAGTGGTGTGAGATGGCTCCTGTGTCTCTGTGTCCTGGAGGCTGTCTCAGGGCAGATGATGCGGTTTATGAACCGACAGAACTACCAGAACCTCAGTAAGTACTGTTGGATGTTCAAGTTCTGTGCATATTTGGTTCTATAAATTAATATTGTGTTCAACTGATGTACAGAGGTTCTAGTATAGATTCTGTTTTCCAGACCCAGTGGCTGGAATGTTGGCTGGAATGAAATATGTTGAATGTATTATCAATATATTATGATGCTATTATCAATTGGATTGGCAGTACGTCAACTGACCAGTCTATATTGTTATAAAACCATGTAGAGCCTGGTGCATTCCAAACGTAAAACATTTTAGATCAGTTAGCTTTTTCAGTAGCTGTGTATTTATATTCAGTGCTCATTTCCTCCTCTGTGTAGAAAGGTTTTGTTGTTAGCGTGTTTGCTTGCATTTCCATAGTTACTTCAACATGCTCTAGGCATGTCAGGCCACAGGTAAAAAAAAAGATGGTTAATGAAAGTATAGTTTATTGAAGAAAGTAGTTAAGGTTCTACTAGTAACCATTTGTAGCCTATTGTTCCATGGTGTTTCTCCATCCAAGTGATCAAGATATAGCTTAATAAGTCAAAGTATAAAGTCGATAAGAGGCCTTACCAACCGTCTACCAAATGTACACATTCCTGATCTGTCTGCTGCCTCTCCGGATCGCATGCTTACCGATTTGCTTATCAGTTTCCATCTGTGTCTGTGGAGTCTTATTGGGCAGGCTATCATTACAGCCATCTTGAGTATTGTCTAAAGTAACTCTCCCCGGTCCTGGCCGCTCCCCAAGCCGTAGTCAAGTGAATTGATGCTGTGAACTGATGATAACAATCAGAGCATCACAGTTTACAGTCAAAGCACTTGAGACTGGTTTGTCTTCATTATGTGCAATTCAACTTGTCAGAGCCCACCTGCTTCAAAATGCCGAAGGGTGATTTGGAAAATCTCATGTCCCTGTCTGGCTTGCAATTTTAAGAATTGTTGTCCTCTCCTGACAATTATTTTGTCTAGGCTGAATGCTTTGTGTAAGCTTCAATAATCTTTCCCCGTAGGTACGTACATTATATATTGTTGATGGAGGTTTTCTCCAAGAAAAGAGAGATATGCCACAAAGAAGTGGCACAATGGATATGTTATTTGGCACTATATTGCACTCAGGATTTCACTGTACTCGCAAAGAACTTGACAGTTATATCTCACTGCTGTTTATGGTCTTGCCTTTGAGCTATCATCTTGGAAAATTGTGTGAAGGACTTTATCTCAGCTGGCTAATCTTCCAGTGGTGTCTACCTGTATTGATGTGCATCACCACAATATGAGCTGCAAGATAAATGATCAACATCCTGGGTACCATCTTCAGAAGTTACCGCTGGCTCTCTCGTTGCACTATGTAATTTTCTTTTTTTTCCCCTCCTCCCCAGATGACGTGCAGTGTTCCAACCTGGCCTGCCGACTGGCCAGACGAGGGGAGTGCCAGGAAGACACCCAACAATGCGGCCCCTGTCTGGAGGACTATGTGGAGGAAGGAGGGCAATGTAAATGTAAGTTTGGAGAGGAGTCACAGGACCAACAAACTGATATTGTTAACCAAATATAGCCATTCTCTAGAGTTATTTTGTTGACTACTAGATACACACATGCACAAATGCATGATTGTACAGGTGCACACACAAACACACACACATGTATGCAAAGACATGCACACACAAACACACACAGATGCAAAAGACACACACAAAACACACAAACACTGCAGCAGTGCCTAATTATAATAAAAAAATATATACTATCCATTTTGTTGGAGGTACTGCCATGTAGATAACAAAGACTTTGGTAAGCACATTAAATGATTGCACATCATCACAGTGAGAGCTCACACAGCTTGGGATACCTAATGATGATGAGGAATGATAGAAGACACTCTCAGCCCATAGAAAATACCGCTTGTGATGTTTCTTATTACTACAAAATGAGCTGAAAGATAAATGATCATCAGTCTGGGTGCCATCTTCTGAAGTTACTGCTGGCTCTCTATTTGCACTTGCTCCCTGGTAGCAAGTAAGACGGGAGAGCCTAAGGACCAACTTTGGAGATGGTACCCAGGAAAATGATTATCAAGTCATCAGTCAACTGGTGCAAATTGCTAAGCTGGGAATACCAGAAAACTTAACAATAATATACATTTTGTACATGTACTCGTGTAACAACAATTTAACGACTCCTGTGGATCTTACTTTGCTGTAAAAAGTATAGATAGCATTGCCAACATCTTTAAGATTGTTTTGGTTCACGTATCCATAGTGTTATTGAGGTAAAAGCCAATTGCTTATTGGTAAGTATTAAGATAGATAGGCATACTCCGGTGTATTGGTGACCTGCCTGATTGACAGCACTGGAAGAGGTCAGACCTTGGCCTTATTATTTCTGTTATCCAGCAGTACAGAGGTCACCAAATAAACTGTCATCCATTTTCCAATGTTTCATGTGAGGGCAGATCTAGAGTTGTCCAGGTCCATCTAACACTTTCTATAGTTGATGCAATTTTTTGTAATTTAATGGGTGCATTGTTTAGTAGTAGTGACTGTGACTGTTACTGTAACAGTAATCAATTTGATTTTGAATCTAAGTGTTTCAATACAACAAGTTAAAGTGATACATGGGGGATGTTTTTCCAAACTACTCTTAAGTTCTAAGTGTACCCACAAGGCTCTCATCAGTTAGAGTGCATATTACATCTACATCATAGCCCACAGCTAGACTGTTTGAACGCATTTCCTCTCTCCTCGGGCGTCTTGATTGACGTCAATTCTCAGCAAGGGAGATCTTTTGAAAATGGCCGCCTATAACATGCATTAGTCTAAAACAGTCCATGGTGTACGTGTAGGATGATCTCTTTGATGGAAGACGCAAGCTTTTACTTTGGAATCTCTAAGTGGCAATGAATCAGAAAGGACAAGGCATAGATCAGAGGGATATTAAAGATGCCTCCTAGTACTAGTAGATGTTCTTAGAATCAGACAATTCTGTGGGTAGAAAACAAAGCCTACATGTAGCTTTAAGAAATGTCATTCATTGGTGTCATATAGCAAATTGTTTTCCTTGAGAGAGGTACGAATTCTGTCTGGCCTACGTCAGAATAACATCTTCACATTTATGTGACTAATTAGCTTTGCAACATTGTTGTGTTGCAGTTTTCACGAAAGAATTAGCAATACTTTGAAACCTCATTGAGAAATATCGCGAGGGATTTCTCGGTTTGTGGAATCAATATGGTGGTAACAGATGTCAAAAGTCTCCAAAGGCGGCAATCGATAACTTGAGATGCGGTATGTATGATGTATGATGTATGATGTAGAGTGTTGACGTGGCCGCCCCTGCTTCAGAAGGGATGATGACGCACTTCTGATTGGGCAGCTGCTCTGTCAGTCGGAATTCCTAATTTCGCAGGCTGGTAAAAGAGTTGAAAACAGATGATGACAGATTAGAAAAGGACGTCAATATTTCCTCGGTGACGCTCCTAGTCATAGAACTTCCTGTTGAAGTTCAAGGTACAGTGTAATGTTATTTCTAAAAGTGTACTTGGCATGCTGGAAGCATGAAACATTCAATTCCAACCTGCAGTTTCCAGATAAAGTTGTAGGTAATTCCAGGTAGAAAATTGAACAGAAGGGCAGCAAAAGTTTAATGCAACAATCAATGTCATACTCATACTCATAGTCTGCTTTGTTTTGAATCAATATTTGATCAAATTCAATTATGCTGTTTTAGTATGAGTCGGTACTATGACTGAGGTTGTAAGATCCATGCAGGCAGTTTTACCATTCACTGCAGGTGAAAATTGGTTTGTGACATACGAGGTCCTGAATACAAAATACTGCAGTACCCTGTCTGTGAAATTCCAATCAATACATCTGTAATCAAAGGAGAATGGACAGATAACTCAGAGTGAAATTCTAGACTGATAAAGTGCATGTTCTGAAAGAGTTGACAATTATAATCATATTTGTATGTTTTGCATATTTGTAAACACTCAGACACATGCTAATAGGTTTGAATGGCTCCTGACCTTTGCAAATCTAGAGTTTTTGTTGGTCTTCAGCCATGCAAAGCATGGGGAAAATAATCAATACCGTGCTATCATCACAGAATAAAGGCTTCCACCATTAGGCTGCTCTCCTGATCAAGTAGTTGGAACAGGTGGCCCTTTCACCCCTACATCCTGGTTCCCAGTTCCTGGATCAATATTCAGTTTACAGGAGGGCAGGATGTACCATTTCCTGCCGAGGGGTGGACAGATAGGTCTACGAGTTATCACAATGGTTGCCGTAACTCAATTTGTCTTCTTCATTGGAATTAGCTTACAATGAACTTTTCTTTCTAAATTCTGGGATACTGATAAGTCCTCATAAATATTGTTGCATACTATATTGTAACATATGAAGGGCAATCTCACCTCCAGCTTTGTGTCCCTGTCTTTATTGATCTCCCTATGATTTTTTGTTTAAATTGAAGTGCACTGTGTCTCGGTGGGGCGCAGGATTAGTATTCACTTCAAAGATTGCCGTTTGGGCGTAATTGTAGCGGGGACCAATCAAGGCTAGCTTGCAGAATGTTCAACAGACCACTGCACGGAGGAGATTGCCTTGTCAAGTGGATTGGGTGCTGCAAACATTGATTAAGTCTTCAAACTATGTGAGGAAGATTTGTGTTCCTACAAACACTGGTGACGTGGTTTCGTAATTTGCGCTGAAATTCCCGGAGAGGACCCCCTTTGTCGGTTGTGGAATATCATTTGTGGAGCTGTGTGGAATATGAAGGCATTGTTGGTGCTCGTCCTGGCTTGGCACATTGCTTATGGAGCCCAGGGTAAGGCCCATTCCTTTTTTCTGCATGACCTGCTCCTGCTGATATGTACACGATTGGTAGCCGTGAGATGGTATCACGTTCTGTAGATAAGGTGGAATAGAAGGGAAGACGACCATCTCTCATTTTAAGTACCATCTCTCATCTTATCACCCATCCCTACAACATAAAGAATTTCAAAGTTGTTAGTTTATGGCCTTATTGATGTTTGTGAGATGTGTGATAACATTTTACGCATACATCAAGAAGTCAGTAATAAAATTGACTGTACAAGGCAATAACAAAGATGCATCATTTCTTTGATGGTGTATGGAAGAAATGATGGGATACAGCATAAAGAACAGGAGCATTGTAGACAAGGAACGTTTTACTACTTTCTATCATATATGATTCTGAAACAAAGATATAAAATGCATTAGCATTACCATCCCATAGAATGATATATTTTGCCCAAACATCACAGCCAAGTATACGTACATTGTGTATGGACAGTGCCTCACCACTGAAAAAATAAAATCTATACCTTTAGTAATCCGAAAAATAAAATCTATATCCCTAGTACGTCAGCATCAACAGTGAATGGCTATTTGCCAACAGGATGTTTTGTTGAACATGTTGGTGTGTCAGATGTGTTATTCCATCCTGACAGCCACATTTTTGCCATTTTTTGAGATACAACATTGCCAGAATTCTTTCATGAAAAAGGAATCATGTAACATTAGATGTATCCTGCTGAGGTAAGCAGGATAAAATATCATGGTGTTGTCACCTGAAGTTTGACTTATATGTATGAAGCAAGGTATGCAGGTACATGTTCTATCCACCCATGAAAAGTAGACTTTTACTAGCCTTTTTAGATAACACACTAGTGGTACATGATTGACAATGTACATTCTTGAATAAGTACAACTACAAGCCAGTGTCACAAATATCTAGATGCTATGGTAGGTTCTCTACAAGTCATTAACGTCACTGTATCTAGAGTGAACTCCCAAAACCCTGTACAGTTGTAGTCCACTAAGTGAAAATTGCTTGGCATTTGATGTACACATCATACATTATGGACTTGAAGTGATATCAACTCTGGAAAGACTTTAGAAATGCTCTTAATGTTAGATGGCTAACCACTGTAAATTCAGCACCAGGGCTATGTTGAGCCTGAAAGTGAAATTTATTTATTTAATAGAGAGGTCACAACAAAAAACGCAAAGTAACACCACCACAAATATGCCAAGATCTACATTGACGGGACAGTCCTGTTTGTTTTCAACCATTGTCTGAATCTTACTCTGCTCTGACTTATGCTTTTCTGATGACGAATTGCAGGAGTTATTTTGTGTGCAATCTCAGCAGGATGCCACATCTCCAATTTTCAGACTCTAATAACCATGATTATCTCTGTTATCTGAACCATCTGTCTTGGTAATGAACAGTAAACTGTATAAGACAGGAGCCTTAAAGGAGAGCCACCACTGGATCAATACATACTACCACAGGCCTGCAGTAATGCACCATTGTTGAACAGGGATCAATCTGGGGAATCTGTTCTGTGGTTGACAGAAAAATGCGACCATTTAACAGTCGTTATTCTCTGATGCTCATCACTTCAGACCACAGACAATAATAGAGGCATGGAGTATGTACAATGTATTGCATTGCATTATGCTTTATAATGTTT